CATCACCCGGGAAAGGGGATGGCAAGTTCCTCGTCGACTTTGTCCATCATATCTTACTTCGCAAGAAGAGCAGGGGATAAAGGTGAGTGAAGAGAAGGAAGGCCATCTTTTCTCCCACCTTATTTCTCTTGGTGAATATGGAACATTTCCATTCGCATCAGTGGTTTCGGCAGCTTCCGACGGGGCATCTGATTGACCATTCACAGCCATCTCTCTGTGGCTTGAGGATTGCCATGATTGCACTGAGGGCGAAACCTGGCTCTTCTTTTGGGGCTCAACCAAAAGGGGCATTTTTTTCTTTTTAAATAGTGATAAAGACATATTTTTGCTTTGTTAGTTCTTCAAAAAGAAAGGAAGGGGGGGGGGCAAGGTGGTTGGCTTACATCCTATTTTGTTGAGGCTCGGCACTGGTACCTGCTCTGGGGTTGGTTCAAAGGGACAAGCCTTTGAGCCAAATGCAAATTGCCGCTTTCTGCGGGTCACTGCAAAGGGGAAACGCTCAGATTGACATGTTATGGACTGCCCCAAAGTCAGGCACTTGCTTTCTTTTGTCTGACAGTTTAGGTCATTTGGGAGGAACGAGAGGGCAGCTCACAGAATTTCAGCCAGCTGAACCCTCGATCGGCCTTTTTAGGTGGTTTGTACCGCGGTTTTAGGGTTGTAACCCAGATGGTGAATGGGTTTTGGGACCCCACAAAAAAAGACGGGTATATGATATGCGTCAAACTGGGGGACCGAACCCAACATCGTGTTGTTCTTTTGGCATCCCTTCAAACCAACCCAGAAAAGACTACCCTCAAAAAGCCACCAACTCGCGAAGGGGGTTTCGGTTCAAGTTCCGCTGGCCAGGCTTTGGGCAACCTCCGGAGAAGGCAAGAACCCGCACGAAGGTCTTGTCATATGATAATATATACATATATATATATATATATACATATATACATACACATACATGCATATATATATATATATGTATATATGTATATATATATATATGTATGTATGTATGTATATATATATATATACAATATACAATATATCTATATATATGCAAGTGTTTTTGCTGGTTCCTGGAGCTCTTTGGTGGACATCATCTACATGCGGATTTGTATGAACCACTTTTGAGGGTTTCTAAATCCAAATTCATCGCCAAAGATAAGCAACGGGGCATTCCAACCCCTGGCGCTCGCAAGGCGCGCTTCCTCCCCTGCCGTGCCTCGTGCTGGCGCTGGCCGGGCAGCCGAGTTCCGTGGGATTGCGAACATGGCGTGTGAGTTTCATTGGGGGCAGCCCCACGGCGTTGTGATTTTCTGTGGTTTTCCTTTTCCACCCACCCCAAAAAGGGGGGGTGCCCTACAGAGTGCAAACCCAAATAAAACAGGGGCTAGCACTCATTTGTCAAGAATGAGTCTGCCGTTTGGGGCATAGGGTCCACAGTCGAACATTGGCTTGGGGCGAAAGCTGGGGTCTATGTCGGTTGATTCGGCCGATTTTCAAGATCTGGATTGCCTTTTGATGCCCTTCCGGAAGACCCGAAATGGGTACGAACCTGCCCGGAAAGCGCGGTCGTCGTAGCGCCCAGCGGCTGATGGTTCCTGGAAGCTTGAGAATGCTGTTGGGTTGGATGTTTCTTTATCCCCTTATCATTTGTTTTTGGGACCAGTTATTTCCCACTAAGCTGCAAAGAGTGATAAATTTTGTTTGGCAGGGTTTTGTCCAAGGAAAGGTTCACATTGCAAAAGAGATTCGTTGGTGAGGGAACCTTTTGCTGCCCAGTCCCCTCCTTTTTTGCCTTGGATTTCCTATGACCAGTGGCGCGCATCGCGCATCGGCGTGAGGGCGCGAATCGGCATAAGTTGGCGCGGGCGTCATGGCGTGGTCGAGAACCAGTAGTTGATTGCCCTGCAACTGCAACGGTCTGTCATTTTTTTTTGGGTGGTTACATACAAGTATCTTCACCTTTCAGGCCAATTCAAGAGGAGTTTTCCGTGAAAGGGGGGCACATTTGCGCTTTTGGTTCGCGGGGTCTGCGCTCAGGCTTGCACAGAGTTCAAGACGGATGGCGGGCGGCTGAGACTCACGGGCCTGCACGGATTCCGAATGTCGAGCCGGGTCCATAAGTGTCAAAGGGATTTGGAACACCCAAAAATAGGTTACCCTCAGTTTTTTTTCTTCTTCTTCAAATGTTGCCCTTTCATTTCCTTTGAAACCAACGGCTAGCCTCAAGAACAGAGGGGAAACAACTACCCTTGCTCTCTTGTTGCCATGGAACCTGGTCTTCCAGGACCCCCCCCCCCACCCAATCAGGTTCCGCGTTAGCGGATGGGAGGGTACCCTTTGTACCCAAAACGAAGGCAACTCTGCGAGGGATGATCAATTTGCTCGAGAGCCCTTCGCTGCTCAGCATCCATAGGGGAGGCAGGATAAGTTGTGCAGCCAGTCCTGGCCGTTCTTATGCACCTCGTTGCTGCATGTCGATTTTGGGAATGCTTTGGAGCCGCACCAAAGGCACCAGGTCGTTTTCATGTGCAGGAGCTTGGCTTTTACAGGCTCCAAACTATTCAATGAAGCAAGCTGAGGGTTTTGAAAAACGACTTTCCTGTTGGGGAAGCCCCTTGACCACTTCCATGATTGAAGAGACGACTTGCATTGACATTGAGCTGGGACACGCAATGCAGAAGCCAACCAAGGGTGTCTAACACAGACCAGAGAAAAGCACAACAACGCATATTGGAGTTCCATGATGAACAAGAGAGTTGCCGATGAATAGCCTACCCTGGTGGCCAACGAAGTATGGTTCTTTCCAGCTTGGGGGTGCCCAACCCTTGGTTCACCCCAGAGCAGCAAGTGGCCTCCAGAATCGCGATTCTGGTTTCGAGTCTTCAGGCTACCATCGAGACCGGGAGTGGAAGAATGTGATTCTGCAAATGGGCCGTGCGCGAGCCCTGGGGAAGAAAGGAAACATTGATCTTCCGAGATATGAGTGCGGTGTGAAGGAAAGGGTACTCTCTTGATTTAATGATTTAGAAGGCTTTCCCAAAGGACAGCCGCAATTTTTTGGGGTCCCCCTATTTTTGATACACACTCCCATATTTGTGATTCACTTGTTGAACAACCTGGCTTTCCTTGACACCTTTTGCGGGTGAGCATCCAAGCGCCAAGACCCTCTGGCCCGATGTTTGGGACGAGCAAATGAAGGGGGACAGCCTCAGCCAGAAATTGGCGAGGCCGCCTGTTTGATTCTTCACCGAACAAAGTGTTTGGACTACGTACAATGTCAAAACGCCAGGTGCGTCAATATCAAAACTACTTGGAAACCAACTTTTGGGGGCTTGTGTAAAATGGTACCGCCGTGAAACTCCCTGATCACCTTTGTCAAGGTTTTTCAGCTAGGTTTGTCTACCACTTTATAGACGGGGAAGGGGGGGCCAAGGACTCATGCATCGCAAACCCTGCCTCGCCAAGGGGCATTCCCCCTTTGTGTACTAGCGGCTTTGATTGTTGATTCCCTTTTCTCCGCTTGTTGAGAGGGGCTTCCTATTTTGAGGCAATCAGTGAGTTGATTCCTTGCAGCCATAGGCGAAACAAGTTTCACAATCAAATCGTTGGCCTCAAGGCAAAAAGGAGTGCTTCAAGCTTTGGTTTTACACTTGCTCTGATTCACCTACACTTTGACGTTATTCAGATCGGTCTGACATGTGCAGACACAGACCATCGCACACATGATTTAGTGCAAGGCGCGCAAATAACACCGAGATGTACCAGTGTTGGAGCGACCCACTGCAATACCAACGAACACATCGCACAGCCGGGTGAGAACACAGAGGGTTACCAGCAGCATCAATCACACTTGCTACTACCTGAAACGTGCCAGACATGCTCTGCGAGCGCGATACAAACGTCCTCTCAGTACACGTTAAAGCAAAAAGGAACTGGGCCAATGACATTTCAGACCGGATGGTCACCCTATACCAGGTGGCACACTGAGATGTCCGCATTCACAGGCGGCCATGGCATTTATCAAACATGGCGCACGTGGCGGGTCTGTCTGCCATTTGCACGAAAAGTTCATTCCTTGAGTGCCTACTGCTGGGTTTCCTCTGGTGTCTCTGGCCAGGCCTGAGACGACCAAAATGCCGGCAATTTTCGGCAGCCTCGTTTGCAAAACCGACTCGTTGCGGTGACGAGGTGGTCGCATAGGCTTCAGACTGCTCCGCTCGTGCCATCCCCTGCGCCACACCCAATGATCTCGTGATATCGATCATCGCAATCTAGCTTTACATTCATCACGGAAACTGCTACCTCCGAGCGTGCTGGGGTAAAGTCGCCCAAGAATCATAGAGATCATAGAGAAAGTGCGTATCCTTGACATGGCACCCCACATGGCTGCAGGATTCTACAATCTGAAAGACACTGTCCGTCAAGCCCGCCTCCCAAGTTCACGACCAAGTTCATCATTTCTCCAGCCGTCTCCCATCCATCGCAACGCTTCCATGGCAAGGCGGCCCCTTGCGACCGCGCCTTGCAAGGAGCTCGCCTGAAAAATGGGTCTGGGGCAACGTCCCAGAAACCATGACGTGGTGGTTGTCTTTTTTCTCAAAAAGGAAGAACAACCAAGCAGCGCCGAGCCTTGCAAACAGACTCGCCGCACGCCTTTTCGAGTTTGACTTGCTCGCAAGTCAGGCGTCTCGCGTGTGAAATTCCGTCAGAAATGGGTTTAATTCCTAGGTGGATGTGTCTCTTTTTCGGGGACCCTCCAAAATGATGGTTTTCCTTTAGGTTTCCCCTTAAAACCACCAAAATAGGGTACCAGAACAAAGAACACGCACGCCCAAGTTGAGCTCGGGGAAGGTTTGGCGGTATGCCAGGGCCAGATCCCGCTGCCTCAGATCTTGAAGGCGGAGTTTCAGATCCTCTCCAGGCGATTCGGCTCGATGGATCCGCTCTTGGGCTGTCAGCGGCGTCCAGGAAGGCTCTGATACTCCTTTGGCTTTCACACGCCTTATTTGGTTCGATCTCCCCCCACGGCTTAAGGGGTTGTCAATTTTTCCAGAGGCACAACAAATCGTCCCTCAAACATGGGGAAGCCTTTCTCTGATTGTTTTAAAGGGAAATCAGGGAAATCAGGATACCCATCAAACCAGCTCTTGGCTTAGCAAGGCATTCCGATCAAGCAAGCGGCAGAGGAGTGAGCTAGCCCAGTTGAAGCCTTCTGGCTATTGCCCACGGTGCAACAGCTGGTTTTCGTTAGTTGATTCGTGGACACATGCACATACACACACACACACCTTTTTCCCTCAAAAGTTGATGGTGAAAGATCCCAACAAGCAACTAGCACTCAAAGGATCGGGAGCCCACGTGCTAGATTATCGCGCGACCTGTGGCTAGCAATGGTTTCCGGAATTTGAAGGTACCTCTGGTTGCTGATGGCAAAGCTTTGCCATCCTAAGTTTGGATGAGTTGAGCAAGCGACGGCATTTGCAGGCAATTTGCCACGTGTCATAGGAAAGAAAGGCCTGCCCTTGAAGGTTCAACCGTGTCCACTGACAATACTAGCCTGCCATCAATTCGTAAAGGACCTGGGGGTCATGGTTGCGCCGTGAATTCCCTGACACTGCTCATGGGAGCCCAAGAGTGGATTGAACGGACCCATTTGTCTATTCGTGACACCAAGGGCTTGGCTCCTCAACTGGGCCAAGGCAAAACGTTCAGGTGGCTTCAAGGCCGTGGAAACCTGGGGAGAGCGGCCGATACTGAAAGCCCCTCCTTCAAAAGGAAGCTGTGGATGGATGAAATCCGTTTCACGCCACATAAGAAACCCATGGAATGATGATTCTCTGCAAGTACCAACAAACAATGGTCTCCCACGGTTCTCAGGTGGTGCAGAATTCCGTCCATTCACAGTAAGGAGCTCAAATACACCCAACTTCACAGGCAGAGATTTGTCGAGAGCACATGTGGAATCCAAGCGGCCAGGCTCCGCTACGTGGTGGGCATTCCGACCCCCTTGACCTTCCTCCGCGGCCCATTGGCGGGAAATTTGGGCAAGGTGTTTGGCTGGGTTGATAGAACTGATTGTGCCGCCGTTTCTTGCCGCCTAGAGGGAGTGCAGTACCCAAAAGAGTTGTTTTTCTTTTTTCTCCCGGGAGTAAGTCTCTTGGAGCCGCCCTCAATGCTGCAAATGAGAGCATATTTGTTTGGAAGAACAATGTCTTATTGCCACGACTGAGCAAATTCTGACAAGCTGAACGAAAAGGGTATGTCTTATTTCGAACTTGTGAATGATTAATTTGTCCAGATATGTTGCGGCTCAGCTCTTTTGTTTCCTCCTCTGCTCTTGTTGCTGCTGTTTGCTGCTTTTATACTTCCTCTATTTGCCATAAGGTTCGCTTTCCACTTGTCATTTTGAGTAGCTGGGTGCTAAATATGCTTTTTTTTTTAACCACCAGGAGACCCGAAGAATAACATGGGGGTTATCTTTCAAAGCTTTCCCACGCACCCATTTAAACGCCACTTATCATTCGTCAAGCTCTAAGTTTTTCCTCTTTCAAGATACAGTTGTTTGATTCCTGAACCTGTTTGGGATGATGGCTTTGTTTACCGTCGGCATCTGTCATGCTTTGCCAGAACATCATGTGACCCTGCCAACTGCCATTGGTTCATCATTTGGCTGTGGTCAAAAATGCACACCCAAAAGGGAACCCTGGTATAGGTGCCAAGGACTAAAACCTGCGGTCCGATTCCTGGTGGTTTAATGTTGACCCATACCCATTTCAATATTTGTCCACCCGCGAGCAAGGCACAATAGCTGTGGCATTGAGGCAACGGATCCAGACTCGAACCCGAGGCTTGACCCAGCACTTGGGAGACGAGGCAGGTAGCACAGTCCCGCAGCCCGTTTTCCTGGGCAGTCTCCAAGTTGCGAACCGGGGCCAGTAGGCATGCGAACTCTGATTGTTAGTCACCATCGTTTTTTTTTGGTTGGTTTTTGCCAAACTTTAGACTTTGCCCGCGATGCTACGATTGGTTTGCGGGCAGGATTCTTTGCCAGCGGGAAAAAGGATTTTTTTTTTTGGGGGGGCCTGATCAGTGGGCTGCGCCGGGGTGCGTCTTTGCGCTGAGTTTGCACCCCTTTGTAGCTAGCACGCGCTCACCCCGCAAGAAATGGATGTGGATCAGCCGCAATGGACAGGCGGTGTTGATAGTTACTTAGTTAGCTAGCTAGCTAGTTGGCTAGTTAGTTAAGTAGCTAATTAGTTTCTTAGTCATTTTCTTATTTGGTGACTTAGTTACTTAGTTACTCAGTTATTTGGTTAGTTGGTTACTTAGTTAGTAAGCTAGTAGTTAGTTGCTTAGTTGCCTGGTTTTTCGGTTAGTTGCTTAGTTGCTTGGTTTTTCGGTTACTTAGAGTTACTTAATTACTTAGTTAGCTTGTTTGTTCGTTCGTTTGTTCGTTAGTCAGCTGCTTGGTTACTTGGTTACTTATGTACTTACTTACTTTCCTACCTACCTACCTACCTACCTACCTACCTACCTACCTACCTACCTACCTACCTACCTACTGACATCTTGCTTACATAGTTATTTTGTTACTTGCTCGTTCATTGATGAGTTACCTACAATTTCTTATGATTATTTGGTCTAGACTAGTTTAGTTTGATTTAGTTCATGTGTACTTTGGCTATTTATTCGGTTAGACAATTAGTTGGCTGGTTTGTCGCTAGTTGGTCAGTTGATTTTGAATGAGGGAGTGAGGGAGTGAGTGAGTGAGTGAGTGAGCGAGGGAGTGAGTGAGTGAGTGAGGTGAGGTGAGGTGAGGTGAGGTGAGGTGAGGTGAGGTGAGGTGAGGTGAGGTGAGGTGAGGTGAGGTGAGTGAGTGAGTGAGGGAGGGAGGGAGGGAGTGAGTGAGTGAGTGAGTGAGTGAGAGAGCAAGGCGAGGAGAGGCGAGGCGAGGAGAGGAGAGGAGAGGAGAGGAGAGGTAAGGGAGTGAGTGACTGGCTTGGCTTAGGTTAGTTAGTTAGTCAGTCAGTCAGTCAGTCAGTCAGTCAGTCAGTCAGTCAGTCAGTCAGTCAGTCAGTCAGTCAGTCAGTCAGTCAGTCAGTCAGTCAGTCAGTCAGTCAGTCAGTCAGTCAGTCAGTCAGTCAGTCAGTCAGTCAGTCAGTCAGTCAGTCAGTCAGTCAGTCAGTCAGTCAGTCAGTCAGTCAGTCAGTCAGTCAGTCAGTCAGTCAGTTAGCTGGCTGCTTAGTTGGTCTGCGTGTTAGTCCGGTTTGCTTAGGAATATTGTAAAATGGTATGTTGGCCAGTTATTCCGTTATTTGGTTAGTCAGACAGCCAGTCAGGCAGCTAGTTAGTGGGGAGTGACCGAGGTGGTGAGTTGGTGCTTTTGGTGTTTGTGTTGCATGAGTGTGTATTTGTTTGCTTGCTCGCTTACCTGGCTGGCTGGCTGGCTGGCTGGTTGGTTCTTCGTTCGTTTTTGTTGGTTGGTGAAGGCATAGGTGCGGGCGCGTGTGAGTGCGTGTGTGTTTAGCTCCTGCCTTTTCTCGCGGGTCCGGCAAGTTCAAGAGGTCCAAAGCGCCTAGCGATTCCCCTGCGTGGGCTGCCGGCGTTGGGCCTGACAAAAGAACAAGCGAGATCAAAGTGAGACCTCTTCCAAACCGCCCTTGGGCTAGATGCAGTTGAGGCCCGCAAAAGGAATGGGTTGTGACAACTTGCTGGGGGACTTGAAGTGCATTCGCATGTTTCGCTTTGCTACATGCCGTACTCGACCGCTTGTGATTTTTGGGGTCTGAGCTGTTGGCCAAGCTGGCAAACTTAAAAGTGACCGCCAATCGACTTACACGGGGCACTGAGATGTCCGATGTCCGATTCTGTTTCGTCAAGAAGGTTTGCTCGCACTTAGGAAAAAGAGCCAATAGCTGGCTTTGCCGCTTGGGCCCTCCAAAAAAAAGAAAAAGCCAAAAACAGAAACAACCACCACCATGGCAGCTTTGGTTTTCCTTCACCACCAAGAAGGGGTCCCCTAAAAAGAGAGGGAGGCGCCACCCATTTCTAGCCAGCAGGGAAGTGGTGCCCAAGCAAGTGGGCGAGGCACAGAGGTGGACCCGTTTGGCCACCTTCCTGCTGGAGATGGCCCTTCTCGAGCCCGAGGTGCAGGCGAAAATCCGACCGATTTTCGGAGAAGTTTTTTTTTTGTTGGAACCTGCGGGTTGGTTTTCCAGCTTTTTTGGTTTCAGTTTTCTGGGGGTTGTTTCCTTTTCCAGTCTTTGCAACCATCCTTCTTTTCGAACACCAGCCGTTTTCCCCGGGTTTCTGGAGGTTTTCTAGAAAGAAGGATCGCTGGAAAGAATGGGGGAGGTACCTCTAGAAGTTTGGTTTTCCAGGATTTTACATCCAAACTGCGAATTGGGGTCCTTCTCTTTTTTGACGGATGCGAGATTGCAAGCACGCGCGTGAACGTTATCATCCCCACTCTCACCCCTGCCTTCTTTCCTGGCACCACGACAACATGGGCATGCAAATGACAATATGCTCACGGCTGGAACTCTTAACGGGTCTACACTCATACATAAGTATATCTCTTTAACATATATGTGTGTATATATATACATATATACACACCTATTTATTTATACATAAATATATCAGATCCAGGTATGCAAGCCTTTGTGGTTGGGGTGTGGTTCCCTCCCCGCGTCCCTCTTTGCTGTGGCTGGTTTTGCTTAGCTCTGGTTCGCAAATTGGTGAACATTGGCTGGTTTCGGCTTGGGCTAGGTGATTGCTTTAGGGTTGGTTTCGGGCTGGTTTAGGAAGTTGGTTTTGGTTTGGGGTTTGGCTATGGCTAATGTAGGTTGGTTTGAACGAATAGGGATGGCTTAGGTGGGTTTAGAAGGTTGGTTCAGATTCGGGCCTGATTTGGGATTCAGACTTGGGATTTGGAGGCTTGGTGAGCTGGTTTAGGGTTGGCTCGTGGGCTTCGTGCACCATGCAGGGGGTTTGTCTCAGCGGACCACCCCTTCGCAGAGCCAGCAAGCTTTTGCAGAAGAAAAAGGGCCATGAAGTCGTTTCCCTGAAACTAGGGAGCCTTAAAATGGGGTCCAAGGCAGTTTAAGCGGTACTCAATTGAAAATAAATCATCCAACATCCATTTTCAGACTGGACAATGAAATCCATCTAACATCCATTTTGAGACTGGTTCATAAATCATCTAAACGGTATCTACTCGGTTTAAACGGTACCCATTTTGACTCTGGTTCATTTGCTTGGTGTTTAAGTTGGGGTTTAAACGGTACTCATTTGATCTAACATCCAACAAACATTGGCTCTGGTTCAGGGTTGGTTTAAGTTCGGGTGGGCGACCTGAGTGTTTGCTTCCCTCCCACGATGTCTCCAGTACGGCTGCCCCCACGCCTTCCTCGCCGCTCCGAGCTCGGCGGTAGGCTGAAACCGGGCGGTTTCGAACACCAAAACAGGCGGCTTCCCTCTAAAACTGGCGGGGGGTCTTTGACCAACCAAAAAGGGCCCAGCTCATAGCTATGAAGCCCAGGTTCAGGTATCAAAATTGGATTCTTGGCCATGCGTTCTGCTTTTGTTCCCAAAATGGCTATTGGCGCAGGAAGGCGACGTATGCATTGGGCTTTTGAACGCAAGATCAGATCGAAGCCATCTCCAAAGCGTCCATGTTCCCACTTCACTGTTCAGGAGTCCCCACTCACAAATAGCAGCGATATTTTAAACAAAGCCACTCCACAACCCGTGGCTTAACAGTGCTGTCCGTTTTCAGATCCCCTGCGAAACATGAGTAACTTTTAGTGGGTTGCCACACTTTGACTTCTGCTCGTCGCATGTAACGCTACAAGCATGGAATAATAAGGAATCATGTTCAAAGACTCGTGGGCTAGGGGTAAGGTGGTTTTTCTTGAGTCAATGAGTCAATCACTTTAGTGACTTTGACAGTATCAAGTTGCCGTGGCCAGCAAGAATGGGATTCCTCAGGCCCCTTCGCTCGGAAGGCTTCATTTCTGCCATCGCTGCTGCGAGTCCGCGGGCTTCTTCGAGCCAGGGACGTGTTCAGTTTCTCCTTTCTCCAAAGTCCACATTGGAACACCCAAACACTCAATTGCAACTGGGAGAATCCAGCGGCCTGTAAATGACATGCCCGTCCGATGGCAGCACGTCCGCTTCGCAACATGAGGTATTTGCCATGGCATGGCTGCCTTTTGCTCGTGATCAGCTTGTCCTTCAACAGATACACCCAAGGCCCAGGCCAAAGGACCCAGCGGCCCACGTTTCGCTGAGGCTGGTGCCTTCGCTGCGAGCCTGCGGGTCTTGGAGGCTCCGAAGATGCACCGCCAGGAGACTCCCGCGTTCTGTGGTGGGATCTCGTCCAAAGATGTGGGGAGTTTCTTTATTTGGGCCTCGGGTTTGGATTTCGTACTTTGCGTGTTGACCCCAAGCCTGGCGGATTAGCCAAGGTCAAGCCCTCGAAAGCTCTAAACTGGGAGGAGCTTTCGTCAGGGCTGTTTGTTTCGTTTTCAAACACTTCGGGAAGCTTCCCATCAAAGTTAGGGGGCAATCCTTTTCGGGTGGTTCCGTCCTTCCCTCCAAGGTTCCAAAGTTCGAGATAGAGTCCACATTTCGGCAACGCAAGTCCCAGAGAATGCCATCAGGTTTCCCTTCGCGGCTTGGATTGGTGGGCTTGCCTCGAGCTGAGATGCAGGGCCTGGGCCGTCCGATGGGGTTCCGGGGTCTGGAGGCTTGAGATCTCTCACCTGTGGGAGGCTTGGAAGGCCGCGGAAGATGTTTTTTTCAGAACGAATACATGGCTACGGGTCAAACTAAAACCACCAGACCGCAGGTTTTAGTCCATATCTCTACTTACCAGACCGACCCATTTTGGGGTTGAGTGACTTTTGGGAGTCAACCACTTTGGTATCGCAGACTTTGTAGTCTCAAGGGGCGCATCTCCGGAGGAGCTACTGAAAGACTTGGAGGTGTGGCCCATTGAGGACCAGGACCACGAGGATCTGCTTTGGCAGTGTGAGGAGGCCAGGAAGTTTCTCCGCAGGCTTTCACCTCAGTCACCTGGGTGGGAGACAACCGCAGGAGTTTGACAAAGGGGCACATATGGCCGTGGGTCAAAACCGTTTTGGGATCCCATTTTGGTTGGTAGGTGAATTCACCACCCATTTTAGGACCTATTTTAGTGGTTGGATTGGGATGTTCCCTGGGGGTGCGGGGTTTTGACCCATGGCCATATGGGTATGTGTCAAAGGGGTAATCTCCATTTTGGCTTCTTGATCGGTTTCCTGTTCCGAGAGAACAGCGCTACTGCCTTTGGATGCCACTCTTTTTGGTTTTGCAGCGCAAACACAGAGAACGTAGGCCCCATTTCGGGGTTCCTCTGCAGAATCATTTCCTTTTGACGATCAAAGCTTCGATGTCCAGGTGTGCCGGGATATAATCCTGTGAGTTTCCACTTGGAGTCCCTTTGCAAGGACTTTTTGTTTCGGATTCGCCTTGGGGGAAGACTCAGAACATGGAGTTGGCGGACCCGCAGAGGGGGAAGCAATCTTGACAATTTTTGGTCCTGGCCCCAAAAGGTTGGCCCTCTTCTTTAGGGTTTTTTGACGTGCCCAAGTCCTGCGCAAGAACAGCTAGGTTTAATGGGACTTGAGGGCTTGTGTAACCTTTACGATCTGGGTGGAGCCAACCGCCGATGTGGACGTCAAAATGCAGGGGTTTTGGGCCTCCAAGTCAAGATGAGGGGTTTTCGACGGTAAAGAGCCGCACTTCAACGTGTGGGGTCTACATTTCTCGCCTGAGCAGCCAAACAAACCTGAAGTCCATTCTTTCCAATCCACATCCCTACCCTTCCCATCTTTGGCCATCCAGCAGTTGCGATCACGTGTCAAAACGCCGGCCGCTTGGAAGAATCGTGGCTGGTGAAAGCGCTAGTGGTCTAGTGCTCTGTATCCACTCAAGACAGCGGAGCGCAATCCCTTGGACTGGCGCGTCGGTTTGTGAGAAATGCAGCCAACTCCGCTTTGCGCCGGGTCAACGTTCATATTCTCGCTTCTTGTGACCATGCCGGCTTGATCTGGGGGTGTTCGTATTCCAACCTTGGGTTACACCCGGGAAAAAATGACTATATTCTTGCCCGAAATAGCAAGGCTTGACGTGGAGGGCCCGTTTTTCCTGTGGCCTGTCCTTCAAGTTGCGTGGTCTTGCATGGGTTTGCCCTTAGCTACTGCAATTCTGGGAGCCCTTAGTTGGTGGTTTGGATTGGTGGTTTGGGGATTTGAACCCTTGGTGTTTGTAGAGGGTTTATGGGAAAGCCTCCCCTCAACCACCAAGCCACCAATCCAAGCCAGCAACTGGGAGGAAGCTGATGCGATGATGGTTTCCCCTTGGCGTCATGGCTCCGGACTTGTTGATGGTGTCCATCGCGACCGGAAGGAAGCACTCCACGCAGGATGTGCTGCAGCTTTGGATCCGCTGCAGAGACCAGCAGGTGGAGTTGGAGCGGGTGCCTCAGTGCGTGGGGCGGGTTGCAAAATGGGTGTGTTTGTTTTTGCGGGCGCCGTGTTTCTTTTTTCTTTTTGGTGTGTGTGTGTGTGTGTGTGAGGCAAACCAAAAGGAAAGCCACTAATTTGGGTCCGGTGGTCCGCTAAGAAACGGCATGCCCAAATGGCGTGCATTTTAATTGAGGGACCCTTGAACATTGCGGGGGGTGCATGTCTACCACTTTTGTTCCAACTCTTAAGACTTAGTTGAAACAAACCAATTCTGGTACGCTTTGAAGGGGAACCGGCCGGAGGTTGAATTGTTAACACCTGTTCACACGCACACACACACACAATTGGCGGGCCAACGTTGCCGGTCGCCAGTCGGGGCGTCCCTCCCAGCCGGGATGTTCCTTTTCCCTCTAATTGCCGGCGACGTGGCATGTTTCATTTTTTTCAGTGACCTTGCCGGTGTGATGTGAAAAGGGATTGGGCACCCTTTCGCGGGTTTCTATCTACGTAAGCAGACGAGCAGTGGGACTTGGCGCCTGGGAAGTCCTTGTGGTTTCCCTTGAACCGAAAGGGTGTCCACCACTTTGAGAAACTCCCAAGAAGGCTTGTGGGCAGCCTTGCAACAGAGAACTAGATGATCGCTCAATGGCAAAGCATGATTGCCCATGAAAGGAAAACAATAATGGTAAACAGCCGCCTGTTTTCTTGACATGCCTATGCGTTTGCTTGCTGCAAGTTTGCCGATCAGCCCATGCTTTTTGGGTCTTACAGTCCATGACTGATCTCTATCAGATCCTCCCTCATCTCTTTGTGCTGCTTCAAAGCGCTGCGCCGCGCCCTGAACATGCTGTTGTGGCGTGGTGCCTCGCCTGGAAATGTTTCATGAAGGTTCCCCAAATGCCTGCGCCCAGATTCTACGAGCTCTACAAGGTGTTGGAGGCATGCTGCCCAAATGAGCCCGGAGTGCAAAGAGTGCAAAGGGGTAAAACACAGATCCAGGAAGTGAGCTGTCATTCCCACGGTCCACATCCTTCAAAAAGCGCTTCTTAACCACGGTCAAGCCAGCATCGTTTTTCGTCTTGGGGGGGTGGGGGTTGCCTATTTTGACACGTAGACAGGTCCCCAACTCATTACAGAGTCCGTACTTGGGGATTCCTGTTTTTTGGTTAGAGTTATGGTCATTTGCAAGATGGAGGGCCTCAAGCTGGCTGATGCTTGCAAGAGCCGGGCGACAAACAAATCGATCGCCAGCAGTAGGGCCATGGCGGGTGAATAACACGGTAATTTCTATTTCTCCTTGACACAAAATATTGTTCCACACGAGAAACAGCTGTTTTACGTCTCAAGCTGCGAGCGACCAGACCACCGGATTCATAGAGCCATGGGGTTCCGTGGGTTTGCCTCGGGACGGGACGGGGCATTTTCATCTCGCTTCGTGTTTTCATTTAATTTGGGTTTCCTTTTTTGAAACAGCCCGAAACAGGCCTTGAAGGACGCCCAGGTTTTGCAAAGGGCACTTTTTCCGTCGATTCCCGCGAGGCCAGGTGTTGCCTTAGCTGCAAAGTGGAGGCCTGGCTGTGAAGTCGCCCAGTGGTGTGGGAATATACAGCTAGAGCCACAAGGGTATCCCGTTCTCCCGGGCATTTGCGTGGACCAAAGTCGCGACATAGGCCAGAGAATGATAGAGATGGTCATCAATCCCAATGAGAGTTGAGACAACGGCACCCACCAATCGACCATGGTGAGCGCAATTCTGCGAAGGATGCTGTCATGACACCACCCACGGAAGCACAATCAAAACTTGGGTAGCCCAAGGTTAGTAGTTGGCTTCATGACGAATCAAACTGCGGAGCTTGTTGTGGCCTGCCGCTTTGATCTTTATATACATCGGCCCAAAAGCCGACCAAGGGCGAAGAACTGCGAAGGGATGAAGCCGACTGTGCCAGCGACCCTTTTGAACACTGGCATTGCTCATTAAATGTCAGCTTAGCAACACGGCCCTCACCAGGTGCTGAAAAGGGAAAAGCGATCGTCCGTCAGAGAGCCTCAAGCCCTGAGCATAGGCGTCCTTGGTTGTTTGTGAAAGAATCGCTGGACAATTCCTGGCTGACGTTTCATAAAATCTACCAAGGCCATCAACTCCAGGTGCTTTCGCTTGAGCATCGTGCCAGGGCCGTCGATTTTTTGCGAGGGAATGAGCCCGCCAGCTTTGTCTTTTTCAGGCCAGGAGCCTGGATCCTCGCTCCGCGCTGGCCGCGGTGAGGGAGGATCTCCGGACTTGGAAACTCGGGGGAACGGCTTGGCCGGTTCAACGTGGGGTGTTTGAGCGGCTTTGAGTGGGTTTCGTCGGATGTCCACTGAAGGGGGCAAGGCCATGTAAGCCAAAGAGGGTATACGGTATAGGGAACTATGCCATGCTTTGTGTGTCAAGAAGGTGTCCACTTCACCCAATAAAGTCAAACACAGGCAGCAGGGGATCTGTCAGGCCTAGCGGGCGATGGACATGTAGAGAGGGGATTGACGAGGCCAAAGTAGCGAGCTTGATCTGGAAGCCCAGAATTGGCGAATGCCCAGTGGGTGCAATTTTCGGGTTCGAAGTATTTGGGGTAAAGAACCGCTGATGTCGGCCAGAGACTTTGGTTGGGTTATGGTGCAGATTCAGGGCCTTTGGCAATTTCGTCAATTTTTCCTCTTCCTTCTTAGGGCGGGTACCTTGTTGGAGGCTTCCCGTGGGTAGTGGCCAGCTGGTCCCAAGGGGCAAAGGGAGCCTGGGAAGGATTCAGGCGGCACAGTCAAGGGCTGTGGACGTACGTGGTAAAGGTTTAGAGGCGTCTTGACTTTGTTTGTTTTGGGTGATCGGTGATAGCGCAGCAAAGGTGTTTTTGAAGTCCCCTGTTTCTTCAACTTTTGGACTGGGAGTATGCTTGTGCGAACTGTCAGCATCATCACCGTCACCGCCATCGTCATCGTCCCCCACCCCCCCAGCCACCCGACTTGGCCTGATGCGACCCCAACCTCCCGACCCGACCTCCCGACCCGACCTCCCGACCCGTTTCGACCCACCCACCCACCCACCCACCCACCCACCCACCCACCCACCCACCCACCCACCCACCCACCCACCCACCCACCCACCCACCCACCCACCCACCCACCCCCCCACCCACCCACCCACCCACCCACCCACCCACCCACCCACCCACCCACCCACCCACCCACCCACCCACCCACCCACCCACCCACCCACCCACCCACCCACCCACATTAGTGGAACTGGTGCGCAATATTTTTCGCAAATGTTGCGCAACACGTTGGCCAACATTTGGCAAACAAACAAAACAACACTACCACACAAACCAAACACAAACAGACAAACACACCAACACGAAATACAACAAACAAACAAAGCCACAAAAACAAACAATCAATCCTACCACGACTACGGCAGGAACGCGTTTTTGTTTTTGCTCCAGTGGACATGTTGCGCACCATCAGGATTTTTCCAATGTTGCGGCGCAACATCGTCGCTAACATTTGGCAAACGCCAAAACAACATCAAGCACAGCACCAACAAAACACAAACCAAAGTACCAAACAAATCCAAAACCAACAACCAAGGAAACAAACAACCAATTCCTACCCCCACCATGGCTGGAACTTTGTCTTTGGCCTTTTATGGCCTGCATTCTTGTTTCGGGACCGTCCAGGAGCGCGAGCCGGATCACATCAAGACCACGGATTGGGCGCTCTGGTTGAAAGGCCGGGGCGCTGGCGCGTGCGGGGCATCGACGTTGCCCTGGCTGCAGGTGCGCCAACCACGAAACCATTGACATTTAGCAGGCTTTCCCTACCGGCTTATCCACTATCCGCTGGTGCCCCGAGGTTCCTGCTAGATAAGACGCAGGTTTCTCTTGTGCCTCACCTGCAAGCAGGCCGAAGCCACATGCAGAACCGCCCCCAAGCCGCAGCTTGAAATCCCCTGGGGCAAGAAGCAAAGGCCCCGACCTAACTCAACCCCTGCAGGTGCAAACTGGGTGAGCCCACAGCCCTGCGTGTCCAGTTTCGGACCTTGCATTGAGTCTCCAATCCTGTCCAGTACGGTGGATGCTGTAGAAATTGCAAGTTGGGAACAAGGGGAACCCTGAAAAATCGCATGGTTTGAGGTTGGTTTCCTTGCCATTTGTAGGGCATCCACAAAGTGCGGCTGTCATCGGTGCATCTTGGCCGCGACTCAACTCGCAACAGCGATCGTGGCAAAAGTGCCCTCCAACTGTTGCCAAATACGGGCTTCCTTAAAGGATCCTGCTTTGCTGATTTCAGCTTTTCGGTTGGTGTCTTCTTTTCAGTGGTGCCTAGTTGCCCAAACTCGTGGTCAAAGTGTTAAAACGTGATTTGGCCGTCAGTCTTTGATGCCCTTGCCTTGGGTGGTTGTTTCCGGCAAACCGCAAGGAAACCAACTGGGTCTCTAGGTTTAAGACACACCCATTTCAAGAATGAGTTGTTGGAAATGCCCTTGCAAATGGCTGGACATCAATCCCCAAACGATGGTCCCATTTGAGATGCAGCCGCTTTTGTGAGTCATTTTGTAGCTCCGAAGCTTTCATTTCTGTGCATGGGGTTTTTGGCAGGAGGTGCTCCTCACTTTCTTGCAGAGGACTGAGGGATGGAGTCTCGGTGTATGTCCTTCAACTCCCTGAAGATTAAAATGGAAGCCAACAAGATTAAAATGGAAGCCAACTCCATAGAGGACTTTGGAGGATTCCCTTTTTGGGTTCCAAGATAGTACTTGGGGATGGTAGACGGTCACGGCCACGGGCGATGCTTTGGTTCTCGTTCCAGGTTTCTCTTTAAACGCGCTTTTCCAGCTGCTTTTGGGGCTTGCAACAGGGTCTGACCTGGCCAACAAAGAAAACAAACACCACGGATGGGAGTTTGGCCGCTCAACAATACAGAGCTTTGACTTTGGGCGGGTTCGAACAGACCGTCACGACAGCATTCTGCTTGTTAGGGAAGCACCTTTTCGGTTTTCCCTCAAACAATGATGTTTTTCAGGCTTGATAATGTTAGGTTTGCCCTCAAAGGATCTCAAATATGTGAGAATCCGGGTTAGGAAATGGAAGCCCTTTGTGCAGGCTGAGGTTTGTTCGAACTCGGAACTCACATTGTCCCATGTCAAGGAACGGCATATGTTGACCTCTCACCTTTTGCCCTCAAGTTTGGATAGTTGCACCGCTGGCTCAAGGCAGGATGCTCTAGTTGCACGTGCACCAACCACAAAACCGTTTCGGGTCTCCGCGTTTTCCGACTTGTTCCCCTACCCGCAACCGATCGGTGTTTTCTTTTTTTGGTAGCTTCCCTTCAACTCGTAGAGCACCAACTGTGAGGAGCCCAGGGTGAAGGACCTCGCAAATCGGGCCTATGAATCAACCGGCTCACAAAACTTGGTTGTCTCTGCATATGAGTCCTTGGTTACCTACAAGAACTCTGGCTCTGACATGTTTGCGACCTTTACGAAAGTGGCTAGCGTTTGTACCACGACTCCCGGTGACCCAAACCCACGGCCTGGATCTCCTCGAGATCTCCAGGAGCGCGAGTTCCCATGGGCCAGTACCGCAGGCGCGCGCCGCCGAGCCGCCGAGCCGCCGAGCCGCGAGACGAAGGGCCGAAGAAAGCGATCTCCGTACGCCCTGAGTTTCTGGGCGTGACGCTTTTTGAGAAGACCAGGGGGTGGCTCCTTGCCAAGTTTTTCTTGCGACGCTGATCTCGTGCGCAGGCGCTGTGCCGGCCAACTGACCGGGCGCGCGCTTCTGGGCACTTCCGGGGGGTCCAAATGTGAGATTTGGCCTCCAAGCCGATAAATCATTAGACCTGGTTGAGGGCATCCCATTTCAATGCTTCACTTTCAGTTGGACCATTGCTGAACAACAATTCGTCGCAACTTCTTGGGGAGAAAAAATAGGGCTGGCCAAGTTTTGAAGGTTGTTTGGGACATTTCAGTCACTGGAAACACACTGCTGATGTGTGGCAGACATGCCAGGCCCACCCAATCCCTGCAAAAAAAACAGGGTGAAGGCGAAAAGATGGGCGTGTGTTTTTTTGAGGATACCCTTTCCACCTTGGTTCAAATGGAAAGGGAAAGCCTCGATTTTGGCGTCCCCCTATTTTGACACGCATCCATGTCCGAGGTCTCCTCCAATGTCATATTTCTTGTGGGTAGGCTCATGGAACAAAGTTGCAGATCTCTCATTTTTTTCTTTCCTGCGTGCCAAGTTGGTTACCGTAGGTGTCCTTTTTGGTTTGGTTGAAACATATTATAGGATTTCAAGTTTGGTTTGGTTGAAACCATCAACTGGATCGATTCCATTTTGCCCAGAGACTTCCGCCCAAAAGACCGTCCCCCAAAAGACCCCCGGACCCCCGGCATGCCGGAAGGGTTCGAGGGATCGGAGAAGCCGGCCGCAGCCAGCAGCGCAACGGCGTGCGTCAGTTTCTTGATTTCCGTTTTCCTTTTTTCCCCCCCAGTTTTTTTTTGGTGGGGGGTTCTTCTTCTTTCTTTCGTTATTTTTTGGGGTGGTGGTGGTGGCCACGCTTGTGTTATGGAAAGAATGGCACGCTTGAAAAAGGCGTTTCTTCATTTCCCTTTTTCTTTTTCTTCTTTTTCTGTGTTGGGGGTGGGGGGGGGGGGGGTTCTTCAGTTTGTTTTTTTTCTCCGGGGGGGGGTTCCACGCTTGTGCCATGAAAAAGAAGGGCACGCTTGAAAAAGGCTATATAGCTTGTTTCTTTTGGGGGAGGACCAGGATAATCAGAGCAGTTTCTCCTGAAATGACTAGTTTTTTCCCACTCAAGGGGTTTCCTGCCTCTGATGTGCAGGGTCCTTCAGATGAATCCGAAGTTGACATTAACCGGGGTCATCAATCCCGTTAGGATGTTAGCCCCTAAAGGAATCCTTCATGGCCCACATGGGAGCTCGACCGTATTTCAAGAGTCTTTGAATTGAGTGAACGGGCATTATAATCCCGTGCTTTCCTTTCAGCTTTTGTTTATTGTTGTTGGATTCTGGAAAGGCCTACTGAAACATTTGTTTTTTAAGACCGGTGGTCTTCCCTCAGTTGAGTTTGAGGTTTAAAGGGACACCAACAGGAAACCAAAACATTTGGGGGGCTGACTTGAGAAGCCAACAGTTGACATGTGACGGTCTGTTCTCTTTCGGCCTGGCGCGGTTGGTCGGTTGGTCCGATCGAGGGCTGCAGGGAGCAGCTTGAGTTTTTTGTGAACCGCTCTTTCAGCCTGACGTGCCGTAGTGGTTGGAGCAACGGATGCCGTGGTCCAGGACACGAACTCATGTTGAGGGCTCCAAATGCGAATTTTCAGTGTATGGAACGGCGACACCGAACCACTGACAGAATTGCTCCAGCCGGGCACATGTTGAGACTGAGCTTGCCCTTGTTAACATGAACCGGCCTTGGTCGCTGAGCCGGGGACCCTGGATTTGCTTCGAGCCGGCTCGAAGTCGCATGTTGGTACCCGCCCTTTGACTTGAACGGAACTGGGGAAGCCGTTTTCCAAAGTGGGAAGACTGGACAAGTTGAATTGGGTTCCGGGTCTTGATACACACCCATTTCTGATGCCTTTGGCAAATTGGAGGCAAGCAGTGTTGTTTTTTGGCTTGCTTGTTTGCTTGGTTTTTGGCCTGGCTGGCTGGCTGGCTGGCTGGCTGGCTGGCTGGCTGGCTGGCCGCTTGTTTTCTTTGAGTTGCTTTGCTGCGCTTTGCTTTGCTTGCTGGCTTCCTTCCTTGCTTGCCTACGAAGGGTTGGGTTGGTTAGTTGGTTTGTTTGTTGGCTTGTTCGTTTGTTGGCTCGGTCGTTGGTTCGTTGGTTTGTTGGTTCCTTGCTTCGGTGTTTGCTTGCTTGCTTGTTTGGTTGCTTGCCTGGCTGGCTGGTTAGTTGGTTAGTTGGGTGCATGCATACGTGCTTACGAGCTTGCATGATTGCGTGCTTGAGTTCTTACGGGCTTGCCGTACTTGCGTGCTTGCGTGTTTGATTGCTTTGCATGTTTGCGTGCTTGCTTGCTTCCTTCCTTCCTTGCTTCCTTGCTTGCTTCCTTGCTTGCTTCCTTGCTTGCTTGCTTTCCTGCCTGTCTGCCTATTTGAGCACACTTTTGCTGCGTGCCATATTCTTGGCGTTGCCGAGGTCCGTTTGGCTTTTTCGCTCTCATAGACCTTCAATGAAGGACGAGAGGTTGGGTGAGCCGGAGGGGCTGTAGGTAGGCTTTGGGCAACTGGGTGAGCTCCCACATGACCCAAGGGAGCAGAAAAGGGCAGCCATCCACGAGGTGCCCCGATGGTGTCAACAACCTCGACTATAGGCTGGTACTTACCTCAAACACCAAGCTCGTGTTGAAGTTCTGTCGGCCAACAAGCAGGAATTCGGGGGGGGGGGGGAAAACACGGGAATTGGTCCTTAAATAGCCTGCATCATGCGGTTTTCCCTGGTTTTTCAGGAAGTTCCGTTGGGAGTTGCTCAGAGAGAAGTGACGGACCGCTTTTTGGCTTTTGGGAGGATCTACCTAGCTGCCCAAAGAGTTTCCTGGGATTCGCCAGGAAATGCATCGTGGCATTCGAGTTTTTAGATGATCATAGACTCGTCGGACCCCAGACCCGCGTGACGAGTTGCGAACATTCCAAGCCATGCCCCAGTGCAACGAAGATTCGACATGGGTATGTTTGTTTCTTCTTGTTTTTGATGAGGTACCCTTTTGGGGGCGGATGGGAGTAGTAAAGGAAACAAGTGTTGTTCTTGCTTCAGGGGTGGTGGTGGTTCTCCATTTTGAGAAAACCCACCCCACATGCGGACACTTTACTGCGTGGTCCTGAACCATTTGGTGTCGGAGTCAGGAACCGACCCCTCCAACCGGGGCCAAAGGGTTCGACACATCAAAGGCCTTGGAATGGGTGCTCCGGCGAGCAAGGGCAGAATTCGTTTTAGACCGCGCTCCTTTGTGAAAGGGCCGGCATGGAAGGACCAGACTCACCGTTTGTTTGCCTTAAACCTCTCAGAGAGCTGAGCTGTGGTTTCTCTCCGAGGTCTCACCATGCCGGTCTCAGGGGTGCGCGGGTGCGTAAAGGGAAGTTCTGTGAAGATCAGTTCATGGAGGTGTGTGCTCGAGCCGTGTGCCGTTGTCAATTTGCTCCGGGTTATGGAGCCGTGCCCCAAAGCCGATCCATGGTTGGTCATGGTCCGTTTTCTAACAGCAAAGCCTCTGGCATTCGTTTTCGACATATCCAGGGAACCAAAAGTGAATATGGGTTTCGGGCGCGATGGGTTCCCAGATCGACTCCGAAGCATTTCAGAGCATGGGCCACGGCAACTCCCCCCAGTGCAAGGTCGCGGGGAATGCCATTTTTGCTGCGAAGATGCCGGGGGGTATCCGTTGCATGGTAGGGAGGGCCGGGCACAACGTCCCGGCCCAATTAGGCCCACCGGAAACTTGAGCGGTGAGACGAGGGCATTCGGGGAATTGAGATCAGTGGCACCACTGCGCCGCAGGGACGTTCGTTTTGGGTTGGCTACCGAGTCGGCCGACGTTTGGTGCCACTGCGGGCTTGAATTCCTCCACGCGCACATGGCCCGGAAAAGGGTGGCAGCAGCGGGACTGTTTTCCGCGCGACGGGTGCTCGCTGAGGTATTCGGGGCATTGCCACCTGCCAAGTGGGTTATGTTGCCTTGGTTGGCTATGTGGTGACCATGTAGTGGCTATGTAGTGGTTGTGCACGATTTCCCATCAAATCAGTGGGTAGTGGACACCGTTTCGGCCGTTGCTTCAGTGAGTGGTGTGCACTGAGTGTTTTTTGTAGAGCTATTGCTGTCACCAGCCGTTGGCTGAACAAAGTTCCTGTGCTGAGAAAACAAGTCGCATTGGGAATCTTATTTCTGTGCCAGGAGAGTCTGTTTTGGGTGGGGTGATGCTTCAGTGGGAAATACAGAAGAAACCCAGCTGAGTTTTCCTGGAAAGCCAGCTTTTAAAGCTTGGGCCCCGAGTTCTGCACCTCGGCTCCTCTTGGGCACTGGTTCGAACTCAGAGAGGGGCACCGGAGTACGCTGCAGGCCGGGGAAACCTGTTTGTGGCTCGCTGAGGTTCTGCGAATTCACCGAGTCCCGCAACTTTTCGGGGGGAGGGCTCTGGGGATTTTCTTGGGTAAACCTGTTTGGGTCTGTTTTCAATGAGACCTGAAGGAAGCGTGTTCGAGTTTCCTGGCCTAGGCCTCAAAGAGCCCTTGGAAGCCCGGCAGGCCCTTGGAAACCCAGATATTTGGGTTTGCAGCCAATGAGATCTGAGAGGGGAGGGGGCCCGGCCATTCTCAGATTCCACGAAATCGAAGCTGGGACCGAAGATGGGGTTTTGGGGTAGTGGAAACAATAGAGGGCTTTTTTTCCCTGGCGGTTTGGGGGTAGTGGAAACCAACTTGTCTTAGAACCATGTAGCCAGCACTTTTGACGAGTGACAGCTTTCCCCCTCTGTCCATCCTTTGGGAAGACTGGAACAAGGAGGCCTGACCCCAAACGCCTGGAAGCAATTGGTTTTGACTAAACACGTTCCCGAAATCGGCGGCATTGGCATCTAAGTTGCCACCAAAGGAATCTCAAGTCTCCGAAGATGGGTTTGCCTTGCGAGGGCGATTTAGCAACCAGGCCCTGATCCCCTGGTTCAACATAGCCGGGACCCTTGTAGACTTAAAGATGAAAGGTCACTTGGCTGTGGCTCAAAAAGTGGTACCGAAATGGCACCTTGGTGAATGGAACCAAAGACTAAAACCTGCGGTTTGCCCTAGCTTCTGAGCCCCACTTCCTGTTTTATAAAGTGCAGAGTCTCAAAACAACAGGTTTTCGGAAGGAGCTTGCAGACACATGCGTTTCAGAAAGCAAATCTTCAGGCTCGGGAGCTCCGAACCAGAAACAAGAGAGCAATCTGAGAGGGTACAGACTGGGTACAGCGACAGAAGGTAACCCCAGGTACAGTCACTTACTGTGGGTACAGATGACAGACAACTGACAAGCCACAGACGACAAGGAGCAGGTGACGGATTTTTTACAGTTGGGTGCTTGATCAGTACACCTGTGCCAGTCGCAACCTGATACCATACCACTTCAAGCACTTTTCTTGCAGGCCTGCGGACCATGTCTTTGAAATCCTGCTGGGCTTCACAAGGGACCTGAAAAGGGGGTTTCTTTTTTTGATTAGAGTGTGACCCACCCACCCCCCCCCAAAAAAAAATACATAAAACGGCACTTCAAAGAACAAAACCAAATAATCAAACAGCATACAACAAAATCAGCAAAATTCACAGAAAACAAGATAAGAACCACCAAGCAACTCAAAAACCAGAACAGCCCCCAACAAAATATTTAATCAAAGCATAAAACATTAAATAATTCAATCAAGCATACCAACAAAACAACAAAAATAAAAACCATCAAAGAACACAAACT